GAAGCGAAGCGTATCAGCCAGCCGCAAGCGCTAACAACCCTTGCACGGCTTACGGGACCCCAGGGTGCTGGAAACTTGGAATAGTTTGGAGCTTTTCTTTTGTGTGTGGGTGGATGCTCCTGCTTCCTCCTGGCCCCAGGCTTTGTGAACATGCCCGCAGTTAATCGTGGAATTTCAGACATGCGTGTTTACTTTCAGGAACCTAACTTTAGACTTCACCAGCTTGCTTTCGTCTAAACCAGCTCAGGTTCCCATATTTCACTGGCCGGGAATGGTTTGTGGGGAGTGTTTCCTTTGTGTGCTTACCCTGTAAGGCCTCTTGGGAGCTTCAGAGACTGGCGTATTTAAAAACTTGGCAATAACTCTGGCTATGTGGTCTGTTTATACAATGATAAAGCTGTGTTAGAGTATTAGAAATTTCCTAGTAGCACCGAGTTGCTTTACACCTAGGTTTTACTCAAGCTTGTAAAATACCCCCTGGCCTGAGGAGCACTGTGTCTGGCAGAGGCAATACTAAACTTTGAATGCCAGCCAGAAAATAATGTATCTTTTTAGTCCAGAAAGGCACCATCATGGTAAGTTTTACTGGAATTGATTCTTAGCTCTGCAGGGAGGGTGTCACCGGGCAGTGGGTGGAGGTGAGTTCTTCCGTCCCACCCACTGAGCCTTGGTGATGGCAGGACTAACCCTGAAAATCGGTGCAGGGGACACTGTGCTGCCTGGACAGAAAACACCCTGATGCGCCGGTAAGGCTGAACCTAACAGTCGTTGGGGGATGTGACAGTTACCCCCAAATCCCAAGCACTGCAAATCCCTCTTAAGCTTAACATGCTTTGATTTAATTATTAATAAATCTTAGGAGAAAAAAAAAATCTGTTCATGTGTCGAAACCTGCTAACTATTTCATAGAGCATCCTGCAGTACGTGTGCTGTTACGGTTATATCCTGCAGCCAGATTAGATTAAAATCACTTCAAAGAGGGGTATTTATTTATTTATTCCAATCTAATGCTTGTTTTCCTCTAGAAATATACTTTATCTTTTAATATATATTTTCAAGACAGAGCTCGTTATGCTGAGTTTGGCAGCATACAGAATCAATTGAAAATACAATTTAAACGCTGTAAAGGTAAGGTTTTACAGCTGCCCTCCATCGCTGGGTGCCAAAGCCTGCTGGTCACCTTGCTCTCCGCTTTGCAGCTGACTGGTTTGGATGACGGTATTTCTGAGCCTGGTCAGTGCAAAAACCCATCAGTTCCCGGTGAACTGTGCCCGCTCCAGTAACCCACCGCCCGTCCTCGGAGGGGCTGGGGCAGCAGCCCTGCGGGGAGCTTTGCAGGTGCTGGTGCCCACACAAGTTGCCGCCGTGGAGCCAAGTCTGCTAGTGAGAAGTCTTGACGTGCCAAGTTCAGTTTATCTCCTGCTCTGGACTAATTAGAAGCAATAAAGCCGAGTGCAGGAGGGAATGATGGGCCCAGCTGTCTTTGTGTCAGGATCCTGCGCTACCAACCTGAGACTGTGCGGAGCAACAGTTTGAGACAGCCATTAATGCTCACCTCAGTCCCAAATGCAGTCCGTGTCGGGGATTTCGGTTCATTTTAGCCGGGTGGTGTGTTGGAGTTGTCTGCACTAGCTCGTGCTGAAGAAGAGTCACGTCAGAAAGTAGTAGTCAGGTGCTGAGTGTCTCAAAGGGAATAAATGGTAATTAATTTATAATGAAAAGAAAAAGGAACAGGCTTGTTTGTAAGAATATTTCAAATGCATTTGTTTTCAAATACTGAGATCTCAATTTGAAAAATATATTAATTTCATAAAGAATAAAAATTGGAGCAGGATTTTAATTATAATATGGAATCAGCGGTGGAGTTATGGTCAGCACTTCTATATAAGTCTGAATTTCTTTTTTTAATGCTCAGCAGTGACCTAGATGGCATCAATTTAGTTATTGCAAATCAAGCTAAAAGAATGATTTTATGCTTCTACTTAAAATGATTTTTCTAAGTCCAGTATTTCCTTTAAAATTATTATTGCCACCCCAGTCTTTTATGAACCTTTGGCATGGCCTAAAATGATTATCTGCCTGCGGGAACAACTTGCCTTTATAGCCCTCTCTGAAACATTGCTCTCTGTATTGGAGCTAAAGCTTCTGTAAATACGTGTTTTGACCTTCAAGGAAATACTGCTGTCTTATCGCAGGAGCCTGGCTCTTCTGAGTTGAATGCTGTGACCACTCTTAATCACTTGTTCTCTCTCCTAATGTGCCATTATCGTGTTTATTGCTCTGTGTGTGGCGCTGAGCCTCTCCCCGGCACTTCAGCAAGAGGCTTACTCAAGGAGTTACACGCTCAGGCTGTAATGAGCGTTAATGACGGAGCAGGTGAGCAAACCCTCTGCGTATCGCGTTGAGTGCGGTGCTGCGCCGCACAGCACATTCCTCTTTAGGGGCTGCACACAAACTTGCCGACGGTTAAGCAGCGTTTTGGACACTGAGCTCCTTTGGCCACACAGGGATAGGAGGTGATTCTGGGCTGGTGTCAGGCATTGCTGGAGTAAGAGGTAGATGCTGAGGTGGATAAGGGAATGGTGTGATCTGGGTGCTCTCTGACTACGGTGGAGGCTCTTAATTTTGTTTGTCTGCTTTTCACTGAGAAATAGGTCTTGGTTTTGCCAGTCTTCTGAACTTGACAAGATGAGGGGAAAAAAGGAAAATACTATAATTTTTTTTTTTCTTGCTGACTGTGACTATTTCTGTTGCTTACTCAGATAAAGCTCTGGCAACTTGCAGTGGTTTTGCCTTCTGATTAAAAGGAGCTGGATTCTTATTTTGTCTTTTTGGTCTTGCTGGGCTTGATTTGAGGCAAGAAACTGCTGCCCATAGGCTGTGTGCAAAGTTTCCCTGAGCATTGCATACTTGTAGTCATGTATGAATCTCATCTATGAAGGTCAAGCAACTTTTCAGTCCTTTAAGCTGTGGACATGACAGGTCTTCTGTCCTCATTTCTGACCACCTCTGAGAGACTCAAAGAACTCCATCTCCTACAGAGGGCGAGATGAAAAACCAGGTTTAGATTTGTTTTACAAGGTTTTACAACTACGTATCGTGGACTTCTGGTAGTGCAGGTCATGACTGTCTCCTAGGGATGGAGTGGAGGATGATGTAGACGTGTTCCGTTGGTTGTCGCGCTGTCGGCCATGCGGCTTGGTGAGGTCACGTGCGTGTTTCTCACGGCACTGAGTCTTGTTCCTCTGGGTGAGTAGGGTGAACGGGCAATAGCGTGATGTTGTCAAGCTGACATTCACTGTTTTAATTGTTAGTGGCAGTGGCACCCAGAGGGCTTGGTCAGCAATGCTCAGCCAGCTTTTGAGAGCACTCACACAGTGACGGTGCAGAAGTTTTCATAAATGAATATTTACACAAGATTTCTGGGCCGTTGGTTAGATCAGCCTTGGTGTGTTGAACCGAGGAGATGCATGCAAACAAGGAGCTAATGAATTCTATGCAGTGAGTAATTGCTGTGCCACGGGAAAGCTTTAAGTCCACACCGTTCGCTGTATCGGTGCGAGTGTTCCTTGGGTGGTCTGACTTGCGATGGTAGTCTGAGGTTAGGTTTCAAATTAAAGTCTTTAAAACATCCCTGCAGAGAAACGGGCTGTCAGAGCTTTCTGGAGCACGCAGGAGGGGGTGCTGTCCGGGACGCAGCGCTGACGTTGCTGTGTCAGGTGTCACCCCGAGGTTTCATCCACGTCGTTTACGTGCTCCTCGGCAGTGTGACTCTGTCACAAGTGGCTTCTGTGGGGTTTCTGCAGCTGTGGCTTCTCTCTCAAGCTTTCTGCTTCACCTATCTTGATCTTTGAATGCTTCCCCAGTTGTTTTAATTGGGGTTTTGAAACAATGACTGAAATTAATTAATTTTGAAGCTTTCAACTTTTCTAAGTTTTGAGGGCCATGTAACACCCCGAGCCCTTTCCAGCTGCTCCCTTGGTGTTTTGTCAGAGCAGCGCTGATGCTTGTGGAGATCTGGGCAAGGAGAAGTCAACTGATTCCTCCAGCTTGGCTCAACCACCCCGTTTCCTAGAGCTTCCCAAAGTGCTCATGGCTGGCCGTGGCTTGCCCCAGGAGCTGTGCTGGGGATATTGGAGCAGGGACTTGGACCAGGTGGCCTCTAGAGACCTTGTTCCAGCTCAGCTTTCTCTCCATAATCCTAGTAACTTTGGAGACCTTGAGCCTGAGTTGGATTTGTTGCTGGAAACCTCCCCTTGTATTTGTACGCCAGTGACGGGGTTTGAGGGTAGCTGTGCAGTGTTCATATATAAAGAGCTTCAGGGCTCAGTGCATTCATTTCGAGGTTTGATTTGATAAATGCTGAACCTCTGGAGTAGAGGATGGCGGCACCTCCGCAGCTCCTTTGTGCAGAAGGCACATCTCGCAGTTTGTCTAACCCGGAGCCAGGCAGGTTAGCGAGTCTCCTATGAAATGAAGTTGTAGCCGTTCGTCTTTCAGCCTAATGGACCACAGAAATTACAAGCTGTAGCATGCAGCTTACTCTTGCCACAAGGCAGAGTGCTGCATGCTTTGCCTTCAATTTATGCATGCCATGCCTTTTTATTAAATGTAAAAGAGCAGTTGACAGGATTTCTCCGGAGGACTCGTTCCGGCTATACCTGGTAGATGGCCAGCACATTTCAATATGTAGTAAAATGAATGATGGCGGTTTCTTTGCCATTCATAACAACCACCTTTGAAATCTGAGGAGAGAGTTATGGATTATTCTCTGCGTGTCAAGCAGCAGAGGAAAGCGAGACAGCTATTTTAGCTTTAACCCCGCAGATGACCCACTTCTTGAAGTATTTCCGTTGCCGTTAGGAGATGCAGTTAAGGGCCAGAGCAGCAGTTGCGCATCTGTGCTTGGTCAGGCCTTCACCCAGGGATGGCTCTTTGCCGCTTTCTTTTCTCTGTTCCTCCTTGTATTATAACTTTGAATTGTCTCTCTGTTGTTGCAGTGTGCAGAGGAGTGAATGCCCCATGTTGTGTTAGTGCCTGTCTGCCATGCTGGCCTGTCTGCCAGGACCAGGTGACCTCTCCTTTCAGCTTCTTTCTTACACGCAGATGAACACTGGACTTCAGAAATGTGAGTGACGTTTTGTCTGCAGGATGTGGTTAACTGTTAAATCTGGCTCTGGTACAGCTGTGACATAAACATTTAGGAATACAGTGGAAAAACTATTTAATGTTAGAGTCTTTTGTTATGCCTTCAAGGCATCTGTCAGTAAGGGCTCTGAGAAATCACTGTGAAGGTTCACGTGTGTGCAGCAAGCTCACCCCCCCTTCCTGGCTTTGTAAAGGTTAATTTTAACCACAGCAAGACAAAATGCAAGCGAGGTTTCTGTGAGATTTCTGCCTCTTTGCTGAAAACATTTTGTGCTAAAAGTGTGCCAGCTGACTTGCTTCTTAACGCAACTTTTTCCTGACTCTTTTTCACTTCCATTCGTTTAATTACTCGTAGACACCAATGAAAGTTGGATCAGGCTAACACAAACCTTTTGAGGTCAGCAGCTCTGTTGTTCTACATACCTGGGGCATATACTGCAAATATTAGTGATCTAGCCCAAATTACTAAAGTTCAAAGTTTCTCTCTTCTTTGTGGTGTCTCTTTGGTGCCTCTGAAAATGTCTGCAGAGTACTCTGATAATTCATTTGTGATAACTTCAGCCTTTTTTTTTTTTTTTTTTTTGACAGTTGAACTAGTATTTGTAAGAAGAACTTACGCTTGGGAGTGTAAGTTTACTGGCTAGAGATTTCTTCAAATCTTACTCTGTCTCTCCTTTTAATTGCTGAAGCTGCAAGTTGATTGTTCAGCTGAAATTTCAGAAATACCCAGGTGTCTACATAAGGTCTGTGTAGTTGAGTCTTAGGGCTGTGACCTGTCTCTTGTGTTTGAAACATGCATTGGGAGTTCTCTGTACCCTCAGTTTGATGATGGACTCATTGCTCTTTACAACCGAGTAATTTATCCTCCAGTTGCAGTTAAAATTGCTATAACGTTAAGACTTGTGATGCTACTGAAAATAGGTAAGATAATTTTGCAATGAAGGGTGACGTGCTTGAAGTCCTGCCAGAGGTGAATGACACTTACACACGTGTGCTCCCCCACAGCACTTGCATGGCATTTACACCGACTCCACGGGCTTGGTAATTGTAGCGACACTTTCAGCAATAGTAAAAATCTTTACTCACAGAAAGACTTCTTTAGATGAAACTGGGCATTCCTCTCCTTTCTCTTTTCCGTTTCCAGTTCGAGCTTTGCTGACCGAAACATACTCATTCAGAAGGTAGGCTGCTGTGGTGAGAACGTGCCTCGGTCCTCGCATGACGTGAAGTTTCTTTGGTGGCAGGCAGAGAACAAATTGTTGAGGTTCATGTGAGGGTAGCTGTGCATAAATCAGGTATTTGCTAATTACACATTTACAAGGCAACGTGCTGGTATGTGGGCAGTTTCTTAACCTGATGGTACCTGATGCTGTTTGAGAACTGCTTATCCCAGTGCTGAAAGCATCGCTGGCTCCTGCTTAGGGAAGAGCTTCGGGTACCACATTTAAAATAATTTAGGACATAAAGTAGCTGGCAGGCACTGGCTGGCAGCGGTAATGCTCAGCTGCTCCGGTTTGTTCTGATTTATATGGAAAATGAAACTGCTGGTACAGACCTCGCTCACCCCTGCTGCAGATGTGTGTAAGATTAATTGGTGCGTTTCTCTCTGTGCTGTATATGCACAAGTGGTCTAGCCCCTGGCCAAAGGAAAGCTGAGTTAATGAGCATTTTTAATGAACGGTGACTTGTGACTTTTGATGGGGGGTTGGAAGCAGGCTTTAATAATGGTGCTGTTGCTTTTATAAAAGGCACAGAACTCCACAGGATAGCCTTTATTTAGACTTACAGTGTTTGTATTAATAATTTTTAAGTGTAGTTTTTCTGGATCAGACTTTTTATTAACACTTAAAAATCCGCATTAGCTCAATTACCTTTTTTTAAATTCACTTTCAAATAAAAGGCATTTTTCTTAAAGATAGTCTATGCAACTATATGATAGTATGGGTTTTGTAGATCAATATGCACATATTTTTTCCTTTAGAAACTGATCGCTACAGGACTTCCAATTTCCATGTTTTTCTTTGAATTCCAGCCTGCATCACAGGAAAGGCTAACCCTGAAACTTGTCCTTATCCATGCAGGGGATGTCTCACTGACTCTGCACTGATATTTTCTCCTTCCTCCCCATGACACCAGTATAAACCTGACCAGTCAAGCGGGATACTTGAGGCAAGACTGGGCAGTGTCCGCAGCCGCTGTTGAACAGGGAGAAAAAGGGCGATTTTTCGTGACAGTTCTGTAAAGTCAAAGTGAAAGGTGCTTCTTGGAGAGCTTTTGTGGGGGGCAAACAAAAGAGGGAAGAGCAGGTTGGGGCTGAGTGTGGGGTCATCAGCTAGACTGAAGTCCTTTCCAGGGGAGAGGGCTCTTTCTGTAAAGCCTGTAGAGAAACGGCTGCCGTTGAGGTTTTGATGCAGAAGAGGGGCACAGCTGTTTTTCGCTTGTCCCAATGCAGATGCTCTCATCGAGGTAGGGATCCTGAAGGCCTGTTTGTGTTGCCTTTAATGTTCATGAAAATCGAACCATCGGCAGTTTTAAAAGCAGTGGGTTTTCAAGCCATAATGTGAAATGCGCTTAAAAGATGTTAGATGAGTGCTGAGGTGAGGCAGAGAATATATCTCATTCCATGATAAAAATATCTCCAGAGGTGAGCCGCGCACAGGAGTGTGACCAGATGAACTGGTTGCCACGGGATCAACGGGAGCGTGAACTTGCAGTTCACCGGTTTATTGGGGTAGTTGCTCATACGTACAACTTTACCTTATAATAAACACAAAATAATTACTTTTGGACAGAAGTATTCTGCCTCGCATTTACCGTTAGGTAACTTCATGAAGTTCATCCCATTGTTTTCTTAATGCAGCTTGTTCCATCTGCCATCCTCCTCATCACTTTGTGGCCTGATCCAGAATTCTTGCGCTTGCCTGTGAATGATGAATGTGTTCTAATACCAGCATTTCCTTTCGGTCTATTCTAGCTAGTTTTCCGTTCACTTAGTAACTAGACCTGATTGTTCTTTACTGGTTTGTAGGATATTTGTATGGGCTATTCAGGCTCTTGTGTGCCCTGTTAATGCCTTTCTCCTAATTTTTTGCTGCCTTAATTATTACAGTCATCGAACCTTGCCTATGGAACTGCTAGCAAAGCACATTTTAAGCAGCACATTGGGACACTCAGACACTTAGACCTTGGTCAGGTCTAAGTAGCACGGCTGAGTTAGTCCGTAGTAAAAGCAGCATAATGTTAACTGTACGCAAAACGAGCTCTGTTTGAAACGACGGGTGGTTTCAGAAGATCATGTCCAAGGCATTTTAGAGATGGTTTGCCGTTTGGTAGGATGACAAAGTGACATTGGTGCGTCACTTCATGACTGAGGGGTTATTTTCTCTCATCAGAGGAAGGAGTTCTTCCAGATTCGGGATCTCAGATGCGCTGTAACCGACAGCCGCAGCCTGTTCAAGCAGTGATGGTTTAGCTGCTTTCTAAAAGCTTCCACCACAGTCTCTGTGTAACAGAACAATTGGTGTGTGAGTAAAAGAATATTTAGTGTATCTGTTCAGTGTTAGCGTTTACCACCTGATTTGCTGATATGCCTATAGAAATGTAAACCTGGCTGGGAAATTTTGATGGGAAAGGTGTCTTAAAGTGTCTACTTAATTTTCCATCTGAAAATAAAAGCTTTATGTGACGATGGCCATGACATAAACCATCCTACATGCAGGAGCGGACTCCTTTGTCTGTTGTTGATGGTTCTTCTCCGATTCATGGTGAGTTGCAAGGGTCATCTAGTGGGGAAGAAACAGAACTGAGTGGGTGTGGGCAACACTAACAAGAAAGGTTGGGAAGCTCATGGAGGCCATGGCTGTCGAGGCAAGGTAGCACTGGCGAATCCATTTGGAGGCTCTTTTCTCTGTTAGGAGCGTAGCAGCTTGCTCAGAAGCACAGATACAAACCACCTGCCTGCAGCGGCAGGTACAGGGGTATGACCAGGGGATGTTTGGGTTAGTATCAAATAAGCGTTTTGTTTGATTAAGAGAAAGGGCGGCATGTGCCGGTGTTTGGACAGCACAGAGGGGGAGAGTATAACCAGCGCTGTGGTACGTGCTGTGCTAGAGATGGAAGACAGCCTGCTTGCACAGCTGCTTATTTCATAAAAGATATTTTTAATATTTCTGTAATTATCCTTTCTTTTGGTATCCATCCTGTTTTCCATTTTCTGGCCCTTACTTTCTGAAAGGGAGTGCTCTTAGAGCAGTGCCACTCCCCCCCCCCACCTGGGAAGGCTGGAAGCTGCAGAGAGAGATGGCTGGTACTCAGCCTTGAGCTGTGCTCAGGAACCTTTTGGAGGCAATTTGCTTAAAAGAATCAGAAGTGGGTTTTCAAGAGGAAGGGCTGTTTGCCTGGGAGCATCAAGCTCTTTACTGGAGCATTAGATTTCCTTGGGTCAGAGGGTCAGATGCGGGGCTGGGGAGCTCTGGGGCTGTGGACGTTTCCCGTTCTTTCAGCGCAGCAGCAGATGGCATGGAGATGATGAAAATTTTAGCAAGAATTATGAGTGGTTTTTTTTCCAGTAAACTGTTTGCAAGGTGGCGGGGGGAGGTAAAAGTCAAGCAAAAGCAAAATGATTGTCAAAGCTGCAAGCCATTATTTGGAGATTATAAAATCACTTCTAAAGCAGTAGTCCCAGAGGAGTTAAGCAGCAGAGCTGTCAGAGGGGAACAGCCCAACTTTCTGCTTGGAGTATGATTATAGTGAGAGGCACAAGCGTTTCCCTAGATTTCTGATTGAGCTTGTGGGCAAGGTAGGTATCTGGTAAATCGGAGTGAGTGAAACCACACCCCTGTCTCCAGAAGCCTTTTGTCTGTGTCTGGGGAGTAGCATGGTTTCAGTCTTGTGGGGTAGTCACGTAATTTTGCTGTGTGATATGTGGATGCTGTCCTTAGCAAGGTGCCTCACTGAAAATTCAGCTGAAGAAATAATTGCAAGCCGTAAAATAACGCATGTGTAGCCGCCTTCCATTTGCTGAACTTGGACTGACAAGGGCTTCCTAATGGACAGAAAGACACTCAGAGTGCTTTCAGATGTCAGCATCTTGAAGAGGACTCGGATGTAAATGGAGGCTTGAGCTGAAGTGCTTCGTATGGTTCCCACCTCAGCATTACACGGGTTTAATGTTTAATTCATAACTTTCTGATTTCTGAATTACACGGTAAAGATACTGCGAATGGCTCGAAGAGCCATGGACAGGCAGCCTTAAATTGAGAGAATAGCAAATAGCCTACTACTGCTAGCCATGAGAAATATTTCAATCTGGAGACAGTCCGATGTTATAGCACGTTACCTGCTTTTGTCCAGCTGCAGACATGCTCTGATCAAAACACTGGTTTGGTTTTGTTCCCCTGGGCAGGTCTTGCCTTCAGCTGAACGGGGGGTTGTGGTGGTCACCAGGTAATAAAGGGGATGAGGTACGTGGTCTGGGAAGATTAAGTTCTTGCCTCTTGATTCCTTGGAGATTTTCTACCCTTGTTGTGCAACTGTCTTGCTCTGGGGTTGATCGCTTGCTTACCAGAATCGGTATTGACAAGTTTCCTTTCTCCGCAGGGGACACTACACAGAAAATGAGATCTGCACAGTATCCTACCCCAGCAGAATTGGATGCTTATGCTAAGAAGGTCGCCAACAATCCACTGACTATAAAAATTTTTCCAAACAGTGTCAAGGTTCCCCAGAGGAAACACATACGCCGTACTGTGAACGGACTTGATACTTCGGGCCAGAGGTACAGTCCCTACCCGTCTCAGGCCACCACGAAAACAGGCCTCCTGGCGATAGTCAAATCTCCAGCGAAAGGAATTATCAAAGACTTTGACGGGACACGCGCGCGCCTGCTGCCGGAAGCGATGATGAACCCCCCCTCCACCCCGTACGTTGCACCGAGCACTTTAACCCACCCCCAGGCGCTTGCTCGCCAGCAGGCTCTCCAGCATGCACAGACTTTGCCGCACCCCCAGAGTATACCGCAGCCACAGACTTTGCAGCACCCTCAGGGGATACCACAGCCACAAAGCTTACCGCACCCTCAGGGGATCCCGCAGACGCTACCGCACCCTCAGAACATGCAGCAGCCGCAGGGCTTGCAGCATCCTCAGACCATGGCACACCAGACCCTGCAGCACCCCCCGAATCCTTTGCTGCAGCCGGGTTTACATGGAAGCAGAAAGATGCCGGATGCAGATGCGCCGCCGAATGTGACCGTGTCTACCTCAACCATCCCCCTCTCTATGGCTGCCACCCTGCAGCAGAACCAGCCACCGGACCTGAGCAGCATTGTGCACCAGATTAACCAGTTCTGCCAGGCCAGAGCTGGCATTAGCACTACCTCAGTGTGTGAGGGACAGATTGCAAACCCCAGCCCTATAAGTCGCAACCTGCTTATCAATGCAAGTACCAGGGTATCTACTCACAATGTCCCTACACCCATGCCTTCCTGTGTAGTAAACCCTGTAGATCATGCTGCTGCTGCTATTCCTTCTGCCTCTGTGAACGTGCCCATGGTGAATATTAACAGGGTGCCGCCCGCCTACCAGAACGAAATCAAATCGGTCGCGTGGAACCAGCACCAGCTCGCGCATCTGCAGCAAATGTGTGGGGATGCCGCTGGGCCCGCCGGACTCGCAGGGAAGCACCCTCAGAGAGAGATCGCAGGGCAGAGCTTTCCTGGCAAAACTTCAAACTACCCTCAAGAACTGTGCATGGGCCAGTCGTTCAGCTTGAAGCCCCCCCTCGAGAAGCCTACACCTTCTCCGCCTGTGAACGGGTTGCAGGGACCCTTGCCATACACCAACGGGCACTATTTCCAGCCCATCTGGAACAACATCCTGCCCACGCCCAACAGTGACAGCTCTGGGTCCCAGGACCTCGCCATGCCTTTCCACGGGGGACAGCCAGCAGGAGCACCGCTAGATTGCGCAGGAGGAACTCATTACAGAGCTGGAGCTGGCCCATCCAGCCAGAATAACGTGATGCAGACCATGGATTACCTAAGCGGGGACTTCCAGCAGTCCTGCTTCAGAGATCAGAGCATGGCCGTGCTGGGAAAAGTCCATCGGCCTCCCATGAACCGAGCACCTGAACCAACCGATAGTCGAAATCTTCATATTCAACACCCAGGGTATAGATAGGCTGCAGTCACTTTCACAGACAAAAAATTATAGGTTTAGTCTTAATTTTAATTAATAAGCAAGGCATTTTTAACTTGCAAACTTGTGTGATCATTATAGTGACCATTGGAAGAAGACATACTGTTAAAGCTTTGCTTACACGTTGTCTATCTCCTTTATGCATCAAATATTTAACATGCTTTTTGTTTCAAAGAATTTCATTACACTACTTCACGCCACAGCTGTTTCCTCACCGCAGAATCCCCTTTGTGCAGCTTTCACCTTAGCTTAGTAGCTACTTGCCGGACTGATGTCGAGTTGCTGCAGGGTTTCACAGCTGCATCTGTTCGCCAGCTCCGTAAAGAGCGAGGTAGTGTAGCTGCTTAAATTTCCATCTCAATTTCCTCTGAAGATTAAGAGCAACGGAATTTGTCAGGAAGCAGGGGCTTATTTTCAACTCGAAAGCCCATTTCATTAACGCATTAAACATTGACCATTTGCACTGTCTAGAGGCCTATTTAATTGAAAAAGAAGCGAAGTTGAGAAGAGCTAGCTAGGGGTATGTATTTAGGCATAAATATAGGAAGAAGTTTTTCAGCTGTTTCTTGCCGAGACGCCCGCATTTATTGTTTAGACTTTGTCCAAAGCCAGAAGTCTCTGGCTGATTTTTCTGACACTTTTTTTTTTTTTTTTTTTGGGGACGGGGGTTGGGGGG